AACCCATATATTCAGAAAATAAAATACTGAAACAATATCATACAGGGTGTTCCTTATTGGCAAACGCAGACATAATGGTACTTAGTTTACCTACCTAGAACTCTTCCAGCTGCCATCATACTTTCCAGATGATATTAATTTTCTAGACAAAATATTTGGGATTAATAGACATATTATTCAGCAATGAAAATCATTATTTGCATCTGGATATTTGTGCTAATGATGGCAAAAATAATTGACACTAGTGGAGCATCGCATCATTTCACAAACCTTAATTTATGTACTTTACAAAAAAAACATGAATTGAGCACACAGCCATACATTACTGAAATTAATTGCTAACATAATGCCAATGACAAAAGCAAACATAATAAACTGAAGCCTAAAATGCAACAAATTTCTAGATAATGGTAACATAAAATCCTTAAAGCATACACATTTGTTGCAAAACCGTACTCTCTTACAAGACCAAAATTTTCTTGGGTAGTACATCATATTTTTTCTAGAAGCAGTTTACCGTAAAGTACTTTTTTGTCTCACAGGATGGAAATCAATCAAACTGATACAAAAAATTGACCCAAATAACAGGATGGAAATCAACCCAACAGATATGGAAATTGACCAAAATAAGATCAAAATCAACCTGACTGACAGGATGGAAATCAACCCAACAGATATGGAAATTGACCAAAATGAAAAGATCAAAATCAACCCAACTGACAGGATGGAAATCAACCCAAAAGATATGGAAATTAACCAAAATGAGAAGATCAAAATCAACCCAACTGACAGGATGGAAATCAACCCAACAGTTATAGAAATTGACCAAAATGAGAAGATCAAAATCAACCCAACTGACAGGATGAAAATCAACCCAGATGAGATGGAAAATGACCCAACTCTTGGGACAGAAATCAACCCAAACGACAAGATTGAAATGACACACTCAACAAGAATTTGATCAACTGTGGACACTGTAAGAGTATGCATTCTGGCTGAAATCAACCTTTCAGGAGATGTTCACAAGTCAATTATGTATGTCTGGTATGCAATCAGCACAATAGGTAAAACAATACACCTGTGTCATGTATCTATATAATTCATGATCCAAAGTCTGTGATATGATAACATATCAATACACATATCAATACACATATGAATCTGATAAAGTTTTCCATCTCTGCAAGGTAGGTTAAGTGCCCTATAATGTATGTTGACATTCTTGGTTGTATTTCCACTATACAGATTACAAACAGACATACAGTTATCATGTATTTATATGCAATTCTCACTGATGAGAAGATATCAATAATACTTTCAAACAAACCACTGTTGGTTGCAGCGAGCCTCAATGTTATAGGCCATATGATGATGGCTCCATTTGAACTCCCTTTGTACAACATGAATGATTTGAAAACATTATTACCAATTTTGTGTCTCAGTTACACTTGAAAGACATTATGATGTTATCTACAAAACAGAAGAAATAATGCAATTTCCTCATAGAGAAAATCTCACCTAGAACAAATCTGGGCATGGAAATAAGGTTGAGTACCAACAAAATCCATCACATTTTGTTTCCTGCAGATGCAAAATACTGCTGCAGCCACAGACACTTGTATTTGTTAGTGAAGATGGAAACCTACTGAATACACCTAGTCTTATTCAACAATTTTCATTTAACTTACACATGGTGATAAACTTCAGGTTATCCACCCAATCGCTCACTTTATACTAATTTCATTTATTCCATCAGCTGTTTCATTCACTGGTTAAATATCTTTGCATAAAAGAAAAATTCAAGACTTGAGGAGAGATGATGACAGGATTTTATTTTTAGGAAGACCTATTTCTTTATCAAAGAAAAAAGGAGAGGAAAAAATAGCTGTAGGACATATTACTAAGCTTCAATATCTGTCTCTTTCTTCCTGCTCCACTTCCTTATAGCTTTGCTGAAATCAACATCTTTGACAGATGTCACCTCTAGTTGTGTAATCTTTAATTTGTTATTATTCTGAGCATACACTGCTCCTTTTCTCTGTATCAATACTGCTCTCTGCTTTTTTCTGAAGGGGCATATACAGAGCTAGTTTTGTCAGCTAGAATATGTTAGGAAACTGATATTAGTGACTGTTATGTACAATTTTCCAGAGATCACAGATTATTATCTTTAGGATACATCTGCTCCAAAATGGGATTTTTTACCAACATAAACTTCCTTTGTTAAATCAGTTGACTGCAAGGCCAAATTTCTTGTCTGCTCCATAATGCTGCATAAGATTATTTAGTCCATCAATGTTTGTGCAGACAGGTATCAAAAAATCTATACTTCCTTATTGCATTTTAAAACCCTTATTTTCTCTGATTTATTTTAACCCTGATATGGGTACATGTATTTTGTTCTGTAGGATACCATCCGCTTGGCAAATTTTATTAATTAAAACAATGAAAATTGCATTATACTTTTAAATTGTCAGTATTTTAATTTGGCACAATACATTTGATTTTGAAATACCATTAAAAGGGTTTTTATGTCCATTTTGTTGTCCACCTAAGATGAATATCTCATTCATAATTAATACCATTTTGAGCTCAAAATCACTCACTGGTGTCTCCATAACACTTTCCCAGCTCCAATTATCTGGTATACATCATAACTTTAAAAATTACTGTCATTATCACTTTTTTTACCCAGTATTTGCTAAATGTAATTATAATGAACCACACCAGGAATCAGACACTTTAGGTCTTCTTGGCAGCCAGTATTTTAAACATGCATTGGTAAAACTTTCTTCATGAAGGGTTCAAACTACATCATAAGTTTTATTCCTGGGCACAAAGTTTCTAATCAAATTTAGTTTTACAACCATTCATATCATGCTAATGAAGAACCCAGATGTGGAACAGTTGCTACCCAAAAACCAAATGTCTCAATAAGAACATTTAAATAAAAATTTTATACTTCAAGCACATTTTTATATGTGGGCATGTCAATGAATTTGTGCGAGTTTTCACAGTTTACTGTTCTCCAAGAGTGTGAATTTGCAAAAATTTTGCACGCTTTACACAATGGCACACCCTGACAGCATTTCTGCCTATCTAATGATCTTCCCACGAAATCTCTGTTACTCTGCCAATAATTCCTGTTTGTTATGCAGAGAATAGGCTACATTGATTTCTGATTGGTGGTTATAGTTTAACCAAGAATGGAACAAGCAATAACCACTAATGAGAATATATAACATTTGTCAACATGCAACACACTGGTAACAAAGCTTTCTGATCAAGTCAAGATACAATTCAAAGTAGAACTTCAGGTGAAAGTGGTTAATAAATGATGAGTCAAGTACTTCATTAAAAATGTGGAATGTTTGGAATGTATAGTATATGCTGAAAATAATTTGCATGAAATGGAATGGGGGAAATTAGGAACTACCTCACTTTGTGTTAACTTTAAGACAGCAAGTGAGTAAAATAATCTTTTTTGTTGTTATTAATAAACATGAGTGCCTGTGAATGCAAATGCTGTTTCAGATGGATTATAATTTTACCAAATAATAAGGCAACTAATAATAATTATTCATGTCAGCTGAAGACAAAAATATCATGCATGTGGTATCATTTTCAATCGATTATCCATCTCTTGCATTGATACATGTATCCTTTCAGCAAAATTATCAATATATCAATGAACTGTTTCACTCCTAAAGCATAATACCACCTCATCTCTCCAATTTGTTCTAGACAAGAGATGCCACTCTATAATAGTGTTTGATGTTTATGTTGGAGAACTTGTTAGAAAACTTGTCATTCTACAAGTTTTTCAAGTACAACATACATGCTGATTTAAATAATATCTCAAATCAATTTTCCAATCATAAATTAGTGACTGCAGGACAGCTTTGGGTGTTTTTTTAACCTGCTCTAACATTACCCTTGAGGCTGCCAAGTTCAGTACAAAATACAGTATACTTTTCCCAGACATGAGATCATGTTTTTAATATATCTGGGACATTAATGGGTTGTCAAAATTAAGATTTTCTGCAAGGCTTTCAAAGTATAAAGAGTATATAAAAAATTTGATGCAACTTTACTTCTTGAAGCTCTCAATGTAGTTCATTGCTTCGAGTATGGCAACAAATTCAGCTTTTTTCAGCAACCGGCTCAAGATGACAACATGTGGTGAACCTATGATAGCTCCAATTTTTCTCTCAATCTTCTAAACAGTCTGTATATCAGAATAGAGAGTTATAATTGGAGGTTCTGATGTCACTAAATTCAATCAGGATTTTTTTTGTCTGTGAGCGCTTTTTGACCTGCAAAGATCAAATATTATCATGGGGAGTTGATAACCAAAGTGATGGTACTGAAAAACAGAATTTTACAGCATTTCCAACTGTTTTTTTTTCTAAATGATGACAAATTTGTATGCAAAACAGTAGAATAGGGTTTAGGTTGTTAACATAAAAGGTTTATTATTAGTGCAAAGACTACATCATATGCAGGACTAGATGGAACAGAAGATAGCTTGGTAGCACAATGAAAAGCCAATTTCATTCATTTAAGAAAAAATTGATGGTTAATTTGCCTCAAAACAGTATTTCTGAAAGGAATTTCTAAATATACTCAAAGTTTCCGCTTGTGCATCAGATCAAACATTTGGAGGTAACAATTACAGGCTGATTCTAGGATCAAAATTCCTGGTTTTACTCCTTCAATATTGGAAAGTGATCATTACCACTTTCAGTTATCTCCTGCTTCGTATTGATAAGTGTGTGTGTGTGTGTTATTTGGATTTTTCACATAGCTTTAGCAATTTTTCAGTCATATGGCTATGTCTGCAATATGGCTGTTTATTGTTATTCTACCACTGAGGCATCATGCTGTAGACATGTAGCATGATGTCCCACCCAGTCACATTATCCTAACATCAGTCTGACCAGTCCTAACAGTAACCAAGTGAGGCAGTTCTTAGTACCAGTTTTTATAAGTCTTTGGTATGATTCAGCTGGGATTCGAACCCATAATCTCCTGCATCTAAGGCAGATGCTCTAACCACATGGCCACTTATGCAGTCATGTGTATAAGAAAAGCAAAAGAAACACTAATGTTCAGATATTTCCTGCCCTTTTCATTGGTTGAACTTATGTGTTCAATTTTCTTTTTTCCTTTTGTAGCATTAGCTAAGAAATATTCTTAGAGTTGTCCACTTTGCTCTTAGTATGGTTGGCTGCTAGCATGGGTGTTGGTGGCATCAATATTGTGAATATGCAGGGCAGTGGGGAGGGCAATTAGGGCAAAATATAAAGGAGGGGCAGAGCCCCTTAATTTTTATCCAGCTGTCTAGCTGGCTTAAGAGCAAAGTGATTGGGTAAATCTCTCAGAAAATTACAGCCCCATATTAACTCAAAAACATGTATGAAAACAAACCAGCATTTTCTCTCACAAATTAACACTCCTACAAAGACATTTCCATTAAATCCTTCAGGTCCTAATGCACTGATAAAAATAATTTATAAATGACCTGAGGGTATGAATAAGGGCAATTATAAATGACTTGAGGGCATACATACAGGTAATTATAAGTGAAATGAGTGAATAAATAAGGACAGTATTAACAGAATCAATCTTTGTCAATTTAAAAGAAGGAATGTGATTTTGCTGACCATAACACACTGATAAACTCTATTATTATCATTTCTATGGTAAACAATCTTTTCAGGACACTATCTCATCTTTGTGAAATAACCAAGCAGATGCAACTCAATACTACTTAATCAATAATATAATGTGTGCTTCAGGGCTCAACCTTAGAACCTATCTTGTTTCTCTTGTACATTAATAGGGTGCCATTATATTCAGAGAAGACTGAAACTGACATATCAGTATTCCTCAGAGAAGACTGAAACTGACATATCAGTATTCCCTGATGATGCGAACTTTGTCCTAGAACAGCTGCAGCCAGATCCTATATCAGTGAATGGATCAGTAATTGGTGTCCAGACAATGGAATGTGTATAAATAGCAAGAAGACCATTGCAATTATTGGAGGAACATCTGATTAAACCTGATCTGATTATCTGTAAATGATAAATTTATTAGAATAAAGAATTTGTAGTCATCAAATTCATATTACATTTCTGACAAAGTTTTCTAAATATTTCATAGTTTTTGTATGTTGCTTGTGTTACTTACTTATACAGAAATTTATTTCCATATGAATGGAGATTGTTCATTTGAGGAACTGTTTAAATTTCCATTTTGGGTCCAGCAAAAGAATAACAGATGGATATGTAATCTTTCTCCTAAAACTTTTTCAGGATCACTGTAAACATCTAACTGATGTGAGTGCGTGACTATCAAAACATTAAGGAACCAATCTTATCATTCTGAATGTTAAGATCAGGATCATATAATGGTAGTCATTAATCAGTTGGAGATATAATTGGACACAATTCACTCAAAATTATGAAATGCATTAGATTTTCCCAATGAAAAATCATCAACTTAAACATTTAGGTTCTTATAAATTTTTTAAATACATTTTTTACAGTTTTATCAAGTTGATATTCATAACTCATTAACCCCTGTGACAGTGTTTATATGGCAGGCGATGATAGCCTACTTTTGAGCTCTGTACCATCAAGATCATGTATGACATAATAAAGTAGGTGGTATAATAGAATGGTAGACTGATGTAGTTTTACAATGATAACAAATAATATGGATGTGCCAGCTGCACTACAAAATACAGAGGGAAAAACTAACTTTTTGGATCTGAGTTTTTTCCTGCTGAAATTTGCCTAAGGATGGAATCCAATTTTGAATCCGGATTTTAGACTTTTTGGCCTCGAATTTAAGACAGACTAGTCTGAACTGCACACAGGTGAACCTTTGCAAAAAGTAGGAAAAGATGGGCATTTTAAATATAGAATGGTCTTGACATGTAAAGGCTGGGTCCATTAAGCAAAACAAAAATAGAAAATAAATATCCAAATTTGTACCCTTCTGCTCATGATCTGGTGAAAAAGCCAATAAAATATAATCTTTCTAATACAATTAGGCATTAGGTTAACCTAAAATATCTTGGGAGGTTAATGTACAGTATTAGGATGTATTCAGAAATAGCCCCAAAATGAGTTTCCTACTGGCATTTCAGGCCCACAACAAAACCTCCAAGGGTTAGTATGTTAACAGAGTAATTAAAATTTTTATAAGTTCTTATACCTCTTGAGGCAAGAATTATTCTTTCCCATTTGGTGATTGGAAGATATCCCCCCTGCTATCTCATTATATCACCTCTCTAAAGCAATCAATATAAGCTGGTTCATTTTTAACCATTTCCCATTATTATTACAGACAAGTCTCTTCCATTCACACATTTTATTTAGAAGTGTCCACCCCCACTTACACTTTATCACTCTATGAATTGGAAACAGTGGGAAATGCATGTTACATTTCAGCTATCTCACAACAGTATTTAATATGCACCAAACAGGACATTTCAAAGGAAAGGTAATGATTGCACATGACAATGCACTTCTTTTTCTTCCAGATGAGTTAGTGCTATAAAATCAACCTTTATTCAATATCAAAGAGCATTTGAATAAGCACATGCTGTACCAGACAGACATAAACCTTTTAGCCAGCCTGAAAAAAGGTGATAATGATGATACAGTACAGCACTTAATCTCTAAAAGCTCTATGCTTTGCAATATCAGTGAACAATAAGGGCATAAATATAAACAAGGTTACAGAAAAAAACACAACACTAAAATGGAATAAACAAAGTATGATGAAAATGATTAAAGGTAAATAAATGTTAAATCTCAATATGTCAGTTCAATGCGGCAGAATGATGTTTCTCAATAATTCCTAAGTGAGATCATGGCATCACTGGATCTACATGTATACATGTACAAGATGAATTTGGTTTTAATGGTGCAAAATAATGAGTGCACATTTCTAGCAGGAGTGTACACATTAAGTGAGATCTGTTATTTTTAACTGCTGGCAGTCAACAAAATGTTGCAGAAAGCTGTGATTTGTGTTCAATTCCTAAGAGAACAAGTAGCCAGTGGATGGTACTAAGCAGAAAGGATGAATCCTCAATTATTGGTACTCTAAGGATGATCCAAGCGGCAGTGTTTTGAACTTTTTCAAGTTTTGCAGTAGGTATTGAGATGAACCAGATAAAAAAGAATTAGAACTGTCAATTCTGCAAAGTACTAAAGAACACAAGTATTTTAGTGACAAGAACTGAAAGAAAGTTGCAAATGCAAATAGCAATGAAGCATCTCTGTTCCAGATTTGAAGTGTTCATGACATTTTTTGTGCAATGAACCAAATGTCTAGGTTTGTTTGGGGTGGGGTGGGTGGGAGACTAATTTCAATTATTATGTAATACTTACCTGTCACTTTTTCTTAGCTATCTATTTTCATACCAAAAATATACCATCCATATGATGTGAATATATCCTCCCAGAGTGAAGAAAAAGTCAGTACCACCCTTTGACCTTTTGCACACCACTCTGCCACAGGCTATGCACAGAAGGTAGATGTACCTATATATATATATATATATATATATATATATATATATATATATATATATATATATATATATATACACACATCTTTTTACAGAGGACAATTATGCAACATATCAGAGTGGGCTGGAGGTCTGGGAGGAGGGCATTTGGCTATAGAACAGGTGAGTATTGCATAATTAAAATAAGTTTTACCACCACACTATTGCTTAGCTGAATTTGTCAGTAAGGTGAGTAGGCTGATGTCAAACTGATCAAAATCTAAGAAAATACATGTACTCACCACAGAGGGAGCCCTCCAATTCTACAGAATATTTGTCTCTCTGAAAAACAAACTCCATAGCAATGGGACCTGGAGAAGAAAAAAAAATGCCTGCATTCTGATGTACTAATTAGCTGAGTTAAGAGGAAAAAAGGTATTTATGGGAGTGCCAAAAAGCTGCTTTCATAATATCCTCCAGAGAGAATGATAAACATAGGTGCATGAGGTAGCAATGGCTTGAAACTCATGGGCTTTAATTTTCATGAAGGTGAGATCTCGATCAGTGAGAGACTCATTTGCTCATTTGATTGTCTTGACAATCCACACTGGTAGTTGGTGACAGCTGAAATGTCTATGGAGCCAATAATAGGTTGAAAGAGATGTTTCCTACCCTTTCCTTTTGCTTTAGAGACATTAGGATAGAGGCATTGAGGATAAAAGTCTATCTCCTGTGCATACTTTACTGAGAATGGGAATCCCTATCGGTAAGAGGGCTACTAAAGGCAACTGATTTTTTAAAACCTGAATGGCAGAGAAGGGAAATGGAGTCACAGTTCCCCTTAAACTTACGACAGCCAAAGTCAAAGGACAAGGTATGAATTTTACTTCATCTCGCCAAGGCATGTGTGAGAAGGAACAGTTAAGAGTGTGAGATCCAAAATGGAAGCTTCACTCAATGGTTCACAAGGCGTTTTGTTTAATGACCAAAGAACACAGGAAAGATTCCATATAATGCACTAGGGAGTGAGAGACCAGTCTCTGAAGCTCAAAATTTTTTTTATGATTGGTAAGTTGCAGAATGAACTGAGGTCTGTGCCCTGTGAGAATCTAAGTGTGTTGGAGATGGCAGCCTGATAGCCTTTGATAATGGATACTGAATATCTTTTGGTCTCAAAGAGGAACAAAAGGAAAATAGCAATGGAAGTTACAGATTTGATATGATCAATGTGTTTCCTACTGCACAAATCACATTAGATTCTCCACCTGGCATTATAAATGTTGGATGTAGAAGCTTTCCTGGCTTGAATGATGCAACTGGGGCTGTCCAAAAACTTGTTCTGGTCATTTGAGATGTGCCAAGCATGAAGGTGGAGAATGTCTGGCTGTTGTGGAGATGGGAGCTCCCTCCTGTGTGACACCTGGGTCAATCAATCAAGAGGTCAAAGAGATCATTGATCCATGGTCATTGGGGTGACAATGGGGCAATTAGAATGATCCAAGCAGTGGAAGTTTGGACTCTTTGCAGAACTTGTGTTAA